TAGTTGGTAGAGGTGCATTGAAGTATATAAGACTTCCACATTTGATGTTGTCTTGAAATTCATAAGGATCAGGGCTAGGACCTCTCTTCCCTTTATGAGGCTTGATGTTCTCCCTTTTGCATTGATCCTCGTCCTCAACTTCATAGCTACACCTGAACCATCATCTTTCGCATCCATGACGACCTTGGTAAGAGCTAGGCCGAGTTTGGCATCGATTGAATGGAATCTTTGGTCTCCTGAGTCGACAGACTTGTCCGGATCAGGATCGTCCATGGCTTCTTTGATCCAGTCGATCCAGGGCTCTTGATCTGAATCATTGGCCGCAATGATGATCGATTGAATGAGATTTGCCTTCCATAGTCCAAGATCATTGATCCTGGGCCATGACGGAACGTTTATCTTTGATTCTTCCTTCCTCGATACTTTCATGATTGTAGAGGTTGCCGGTGCAAGATGAGATGAAGAGGATGCTTCTGCTTCTGAAATCTTGTCCCTCAATGATTTGTTCGCCTCGGATAGCTCAATTGATTTCTCCCTTTCCTCGGCGTACTCATTGTGGGTTTCGGCATACCATTCATACATCTCATCTCGGCTCTCTGTCATTTCATTGTACCCGTCCTTGTAGTGCTTCGCCTCCTCTTTTGCGTTCCGAATCTCATCTTCCTCGGACGCGTGGGTTGGTAACCCGCGGTCTCTGGAACTAGGACGCTTGCTGTACCGAGAGACTATGGGTGCCATTCGTGCTTCTGCTTTTAATTTCGCATTTTCCATAATGACATTCTTTGTCTCCTTCTGGCTTTCCAATAGTGCATTCTCCAGTTCTCTGATCTTCTGTTGAATTTCAGCACCATCATCGCCGAACATAGGAGCTCTCGTCATATTCTCTCTTTTCAGCTGTGCGTTGGCTTCGGATAGAGCGAGGTTGGCGTCTTTCAACTGTTGTCGTTCACGGATGGAACCTTCTAGGACTTCGTTGTTGAATATTTCTCCTTTTGCGATAACCTCCTTTGCGACGTTTGCTTCGTATTCATGGTGGCTCGCCTTCATTTCTGCCATTTCTTTAGCAGAGACTTCAGTCTGGCATACAAATATCTCCATCCTCATGCCCACTTCCATCTCTTCTATCTCCGCTCTCGCGTTGAGTTCAGCTCCACGTGCCATAGCTAGTTGACCTCGTAGATGATCAATAACCATAGCTTCCTGATTGCTCTGATCTTGAGATGAGTGAACACTGTGTTGAAGACGTCTTTCCCTGACCTCACTGTTCCATTGTTCTTCTCTCTGGTGTTGGATCACCTCGTGCATGTTGACATTCTCATCCTGTAGCGCAATCATTCTAGCTTGTATCTGGTCAGCTATTCCGACGAAGGCTGTGTTCTCATCCTGAATGGCTTTTGATCTTCTATTGATCGCCAATGAAGATTCATTCTGTTCTTGGATGTGTCCAATTGCTGCTTGAAGCTCTTGGGACATTCTGTCCTTCGTTGCTTTCACAGATTCAAGCTCTGAATGTTCTTGATGAGTTTCTTGTGCAAGCTCTTGATATCTCATGTAGATATGTTCAGCTGTCGATTCCGCCAAGCGTAGCTTGTGTTCGAGCTCTTCAATTCTTATTGTCGCTCCTTCATCTTCCTGTGTCATCTCTTGTAGATGTTCCTGCATCTTCCTGTTGTAGTCAGACATTTGCCTGAACTCCACTTCAGCCTCGTGGTGTAGTCGTGAGTATCCGGCTTGGATGCATTCATATTCTTCATGAAGAAAATTGTATGCGTTTCTCGCCAATCTCAATTCTTCACCCAGCTGAATCTCTCTTCTTTGCTCTTTTGTTCCTCTATCATCGTCACGTCTCTTCTCTATACTCCTTCTTGGGGATCTCGCGGTAGACGTTATAGGCGATGTAGATCTTGTTGTAGCTCTCATCGATCTTCTTGGTCCTACGGGTGCAAGATCGGTCAGATTCCGAGCCGGTGGCACGGATCTTTCCGAGATTTGTGATCCAGTAGGCATAGTGATAACGTCAGCATTTGCTGATGAATCAGTACCCATTGTAGAGTCTGGTGACGAAATGGTGTTGGGACCACCAGGAGCAGCGAATGAATAGGGTTCGCTTCCATTTCCTCCTGAGCTTGACATTGCAGGTTTCTGTAATGACTAGTCTTGTTCTTGGTCTCGTGTAGCTCGTACGGCTATAAAGAGCGCGTACGGCTGATAACCTGCGAGTGGATCTTAATCAGCGAAGTTTGAAGCTATCACTGACGGTCCATAAGCGGCGTAGCGTCGGAACGGAAACCGCACCTTTTCTAGTCGCTTGATCCTTGAGCCAAAGTACATATGGTACATATATATGTACAAGTTGCACTATACGTGTCGCTGCACTTCCATTCGCAATTGCAATTTACAATAAGACAGCGCCGCAGCCAACCACAGCCGACAACAGCCGACCACGCAACCACCAGACCCTGTAACGGAGCGAGATCTATTGCAATTTACAATAAGACAGCGCCGCAGCCGACCACAGCCGACAACAGCCGACCACGCAACCACCAGACCCTCTAACGGAGCGAGATCTATTGCAATTTACAATAAGACAGCGCCGCAGCCGACCACAGCCGACAACAGCCGACAACGCAACCACCAGACCCTCTAACGGAGCGAGACTTTAACCTCTGTGTGTATGGTCTCTGTGTGTGTGGTCTCGGTGTGTGTTGTCTCTGTGTGTGTTGTCTCGGTGTGTGTGTGATCTCTCTGTGTGTGTGTGATCTCTGTGTGTGTGGTCTCTGTGTGTGTGATCTCTGTCTGTGTGGTCTCGGTGTGTGTTGTCTCTGTGTGTGTGGTCTCGGTGTGGTCTCGGTGTGTGTTGTCTC